AAAGTTAGTCTGAACTAAAATTGAACATATAATCTTCATGGAGGAAGGATTTATTGCAGGTTTTTGTAATAGCCTGCATTAGTTTTAAGGCGTACAGCAGTTGATGTTATGTCATAGTCGTAAAAGTATATTGTAAGGTCGTCCTATACTCTGTTTGTGCTTCATGCAGGTCAGTCTTTATGTTAGCTTTATGTTGCCCAGTGCATGCTGGGAATAGGGCTCCAGCCCCCCCCCCGCGACCCTGAACAGTTAGAAGTGGATGTGAAAAGATGGATGGGTGTCTCAGGCTGCAGCTCGCAGTCATTTTCTGAGCAGCTAAATGAGCCATTTGTCAGCGGGGTCAGCCGTGACTTTGACCTTCGGTCGTCAGCACAGTTCTGCTGCTGTTATGCAGAGCAGGTTGTTTCAATCTGGAAGAGTCAACTGAGACATCAAGTGTACAGTGTGGACTGTGAGGAGCCTAAGTCAATAACACATGAGTAAGAAGCAGATAGCCTGATCGTTCTGTACAGGTACATACACCTCTGTAAAACTCAACACGATGTAGTGAAATATCCTCTTTTCTAAATTAATTCAACTTTTATTAATATGTTGGTATTTTAGGGAATGTGTTTCCATGATACATTCCTCCAAACGTATGTTTGAACATTGTCAATCAAGCGTAAATTACAAACTAATGAGAGGCCCTTAATCAAAGCTCCAGCTGAGAGCGACGCAGTTAAAGGGGCAGTTCGGGTTATTTGACGTGGGGTTCTGTGAGCTAGTCATGAAGAGTCGATGTGTCACCTGCAGTAGATTGTGTTTTAGACAAACGCCCACCGAAACAATCCGATACCTGTTTAAATGTACGCTTCATGTAGAATATTTCCAGCGGTTTATCTTCCCATCAGAACAAAGTGAAGCTCAGCTCTCTCTGATTCACTCAGCTGACCTGCGGCTGCGGCGTGATACAGTGGAGTAGGTGCGCTTGTGCGTAGGAATACAGTAGTCCAGCAGTTGAGAGAAATGTAGTGCAAAAGGAAAGTGCTGTTTTGACAAAGAGATAAAAGCTGGAAATATTCTACATGAAGCTTCATTTAAACAGATATCGGATTGTGTCTAAAACATGTTGTTTCTGGTGGCCCCGCCCACAGCAACACATGTTCCTGGACGCCTCTCCTACCTGGCAGCGCACTGATCTGAATCTGCTGCAGGTAACACACTGACTATACACACACACACACACACATATTCTCTCAATTATATTTTGGTGGCCAAAGGTCAAAGGTCACGGCGACCTCAGAAAAAACAGCTTTTAGCCATTGCTCAAGACTTCACAGCAATTATGACCAAATTTCACACAAATGTTTAGTGTTTTCTGACTCTGGATAAACGGGGATCTAAGCTGGGACTAGTCTGAGTGGCGGAGGGATCCGACCGCGAGGAGGTGATTCTAGTTTTCTATGTGACTCTGTGTTAATTACTCTGTAACAGCATTAAGATAAATGCAGGAGCCACCTTCAGGTGCTTACATTTTCACTTTTTAATTGTGCTTTAGAGTTGCATTATATTAGCAACCAAATTTGTAATTAATTAAAGTACAACAAAGTAATTGCCACTGGGCATTTGCCCACGTTTGATAATCCGGCTTTGGCTCTAATAAAAATAAAACCACTAGAGTTCATTCTACAAGAAAATCTGAATCACTGCAGTTTACTATTGTTTTACACTGAGCACTGGAATGGATCGTTGTGACAAACATTTATCAATGAGCATTAATCCATATAAGATCTGAATATTGAAATATCATGTGAAACTGTTTATTTTTTCTGACCAGAAGAAGAAGAAGAAGAAGAAGAAGAAGTCGTCCTGTATTACTGGACTGGAACGGAGCAGAGCAGCAAACACAGCAGAGAAGCTAAAACCTGCAGGTCAGTGACTCAAACTATTCACTGATGGATCAAACAGGTGAGTAACTTTCTGCTCATTTCTACTTCCTGTTGTTACACAACCAGGTCAGACACCATCTACCGCACACACTCACTTTCTTTCCACGTCTCCTCTACGTCCTTTGACAAGCATGGGATACCTTTTGAGGAATAACCATAAATAACTCTCACTTTGTCACGTGGCCCGGCCATATGGTCTAAATCTGCACTACAAAGACTCCGGCGTGCACGTGACAACAGGTCGCCGTGAACGGTGAGAAGTATTCAGCTGTGTTCTGTGGCTCAGGATGATACGGGCTGTTTTCACAGTCGGCTCAGCAGCTACAGGCCTAAGAATATGCCTGACCCACACACTTTGCTTAAAAAAATGTTTTGGATTCCGCCTCTTGCCATAAGCCATATTATGTAAGTGCTAAAGTGTGAGGTATCAAGAGGAGATGGCGCCGTGCCAGGACAGTGCCGTGTGTGTGTGTGTGTATGTGTGTGTGTGGGGTTGTGGGTGCAGGTGTTGAAAGTATCTTGTATGAATAGTTCCTCTGAGGATACAAACACACAGAGCAATAAATTATTATATGCTGATGCAGTGATTATGTGCTGGGGGACGCTGAGAAGCGCTGATGAAGTGAGCATGGATTTACTGTATTAATGCAAATGTCTGTAGATTGTGACAAAAGTTGGAAACTTTTAAATGGAGCTGTGATGCTGTTACTAATGCTCAAAACTCCACAACAATTTGAATGTTTCCTCAACTTTTTCCAAAAGTTTTTAAGCCCAAAAACTCTCATGACAGCAGCTTTATATAGAGATGTTTAACACACATCTAACAAATGTTCTTATTTCTTACTGTATTGTTTATTTATTTAGAATATAAACCTGTTGTATCTTAGACCCCATCTGCACATCTGGACACCTTGACCTTAAATACCCATCCAGAGATAAAAATACTCTGCTTTTAATAATAATTTGCATGTAGTTCGGTTTTTCGCTCAAAAAAAGTTCAGTTTATCTGTTTGAATTTCTTTAAATTACAACTAATCCTGCCTCATTGAGTCTATAAACGTGCAATATGCAACTTCAGGCCTCAAGAAGCCTCTTGCTGTACTTTACTGTAAAGTATTCTCACTGTTTGTGCACCTGAGGATTCAAACTCGTGTAAATCGTACACGGCAGCACAGGTGTCTTTATGTTGTGATGGCCACACGTCTTTAACTGAGGTTTAAGGTGAGCACAGAGAAACTGTCTCCAGCACAGTGAAGCTCAAACATCCAGTTCAAGTAACACAAAAACAAGAACTAAAGTTTTGCCATATCTGGAAAAACAACATGTAAAGATTAATGCAACTGTGCATGATAAAAGTAATGATTCAGTCCATGTGCCTGTGTCACAATGTCCTCATGCTACACTGGCTTTGGAAGGTGAGACAGCAGAGATGAAAACAAGGCAGCTCTGGACTAAAATCACTTCTCTCTTGCTGTGAATACACCGTCCAACCAAACAGGCAAAGCACATTTCCAGAGTTAAATAAAATAGCTGCTGTTCTCAAGCTGCTTTTGTAAACTCTCCACACAGTCTATTAATGAGCCGCAGAATCCAGAAACCTTTGTCATAAACTCTCAGCAGGCTGACCTGATGTCACGGCAGATGACATCATCACAGCCATTGTGAATGAGAGGGCGTTTTTAATGTCGATGGATATGCAGCATAATCATCACCTGACCACATGTATTTTATGCGCTTTTACGCACGCGTAATCGTGTGCGTCATTGTTTGATCAAGGGGAAGAACTGAGGGCTGAGGATGAAGGTTATAGGTGAAGTATTATAAAGACACAGAACAGTGCGTGCTGCATGTGTTACCCATCTTTCAGATATTCTTTTGTTTTCATCATCACTGTCACACGCGAGCTGCAGGCCACGTACCTTGGAAGACATCCACACCCCGGAGATCCTCTGAGCTCGGAGATAATCATAGTCCTCTTGAGAAAAAAAAAATTTTGTGCACGAAGTCCAGCGGACAGGAGAGGAAGTTGCTCGCACACTCCCCCTCCGAGGAGTTTCCACAACAGAGTCATTTTTGCTATAGCTTTCCATCTGCGTCCGTGTAAAGGGATATTGTCATTTTTGAGGTGGTTTTAAATGAAACTGGGGAAACTGTTTGTCGCCAAGGCTCCGAGCCCTGTCCTGTTACAAAAACCTGGCGGGGCAAGTCATTCCTCCAGCCATTTTTTTATTTTTATTTTTTTTAAATCTGGTGATTCATGTGCTTAGCTCTCATGGTGGGTCGACGACACAAGGCCTGTTGTGGAAAAGCATACTCGTGTAGATGTCATAAAAATAATTCTAGCCCTGGTTTATTTGATGCTAAATGCTTAATGAGCGTTTTGTTAATATTAAGTGTTGGAACAATAACAAAACTTTTTTCTGTATTGGACTCCAATTGTCAGTGGCAGCGAATGAGAGGGGTTATAAATATCCTTACTTTGCTCTCTGGGTGAAAGTTGCTCAAACATTCTTCAGCTAAGTGGTCAGAGGATTACTAAATTATTGCCACTTGCATGGCCTACAGTTTTTGTCTCTGAAATAAAAATCTGCCCAAACCCAGCGCAAATTCTACATTAGTGCAAACAATTTTTTTTTAACTTTATTGCATAACAGCAAAAAAACAAACAAAAACCGATCATCCCCTATCTGTTCTGTTATTGACAGATGAAACTCATAAAGTGCGAATGCATAGGCTGTCTTCTCTTCAATTTGGATTTGATGTCAGATTCGGAAGCCCGCGCAGGTCGGATGAACTCATTAATAAACCCATAATTGTTTCTAAAGGAGAGGATTTGGGATAAACTACTCTGAGATGGAGAGAATGAACATTTGCCAATTGGTGACTTGTGTGTGTGTGTGTGTCTCTCTGTGTGTGTGTGTCTCTGGGTGTGTGTGTGTTGGGAGGAGGGGGGGGGCTCTGAGACGTGCGTAAAACGTGTGTCATGGGGACCACCTGCTGTTGGGCGTACAGTGTCTTAATAGGGAATATTCTTCTTCAAACAGAAAGAAAAAAGGGAAACTCTACTTGTAATCACACGTCAGTCTGAATGGATTTTGAGTTAGTACTGTTTTTTCTGCTTATGTCTGTGCCGTTTCCTTTACTGGGGCTTTTGTCCAGACCGCAGAGCGACTCAGTGACCCCCTCCTCCATCTCCATATACTCCGCTTTGTCACCCAGCGAGGACCCAGAGGGCGAGCCTTTGAATTTCCTTAGAAAGTCCGGGAAGTAAGGGCAGCCCGGGGGCATGCTCTCCACCACCGGCGGCTGGTCCTCGTTGTCGGTCTCCCTGTGGTAGAAGTAGTTGAAGTTGGACACTATGACCGGCACCGGGAGCGCGATGGTTAACACGCCGGCGATCGCGCACAGGGAGCCCACGATCTTCCCGCCGACAGTGATGGGCTTCATGTCGCCGTAGCCCACCGTGGTCATGGTCACCACGGCCCACCAGAACGCGTCGGGGATGCTCGTGAACTGAGAGGTGGGCTCGTCCGCCTCGGCAAAGTACACCGCGCTGGAGAACAGGATGACACCGATGACCAGGAAGAAAATGAGGAGGGCCAGCTCCCTCATGCTGGCGCGCAGGGTATGACCCAGGATCTGCAGCCCCTTGGAGTGTCTGGACAGCTTGAAGATGCGGAACACCCGGACCAGGCGGATTATTCTCAGGATGGCGAAGCTCATCGCCTGCTGCCCGTTGCCTTGGTGCTGCGCCAGGTCCGTGCCGAGAGTTATGAAATAAGGCAAAATGGAAACAATGTCTATTGAGTTCATAATGTTTTTAAAGAAAGCGGGTTTGCTGGGACTCGCGAAGAAGCGGACTATAATCTCAAAGGAGAACCAGATGATGCAAACCGTCTCCACGATGAAAAACGGGTCGTTGAAAGGAGTAAATCCGTGGTCAGGTTGAGAGGAGTTGTGTCGTGGCTGTAGATACTCTTTTTCATCCCTGAACTCCGGCAGCGTCTCCAGGCAGAAAATGACAATAGAAATGACAATAACCAGGACGGACACCACTGCTATCCCCCTGGCCGGGCTCGAGCTCTCCGGATACTCGAACAGGAGCCAGATTTGGCGCTTGAACTCGTCCTCCGGCAGAGGCTTTTCCTCCTCTTTCACAAAACCCTCATCCTCCCGAAACTTCAGTATCGCCTCCTCCCCGAGTTCATAAAACTTCACCTCCTCGGAGAAGATGTCAAAGGGGACGTTGACTGGTCTTTTCAACCGCCCCCCTGACTGGTAGTAGTAAAGAATGGCGTCAAAACTCGGTCGGTTCCGGTCGAAGAAGTATTCGTTCCTCAGCGGGTCGAAGTACCTGATTCGCTTGTCGGGGTCCCCCAGGAGAGTGTCCGGGAACTGAGTGAGAGTCTTGAGCTGAGTTTCAAACTTCAGCCCCGACACGTTGATGACGACTCTCTCGCAGCAGCCGCACTCGCTGTAAACGTTCTCGTATCCGGACTGAGGGCGCCGGTCAGTGATCGACACCGTCTCCTCTTCATCATCCATGTTACACAGAAAGCTCGACCTCTTGCTTCCCCGCTCCCCCTCCTCCTCCTCCTCTTCCTCGGCTCCCTCGGCCTCTTCCTCCTCTATCATGATGTCCTCCTCGGATCCGAGCAGTGCCAGCTCCGAGTGGCGCAGATCCCCGCCGAGAGTCGTCCGGCTGCGTCTCCACCGTCCGACGCCGCGCTGCTTTTTCCGCTCTCTGAGAACTCTCTGCTGCTGCTCGGGCTCCTGCTGGTGCTGTGGCGGCTGCGAGGAGGTGGAGGAGGAGGAGGAGGAGGAGGGGCGCGAGGCGGTACCGCCGCTGCTGATGTTGGCGTTCGTGGAGGAGGCGGCGCGAGACTGATGCTGGCGGTTGTTAAGGAGATGAGCGCTCGAGGAGGAGGTGGAGGTGGAGGTGGAGGTGGACCCCCCTACGCCGCCGCCACCGCCACCGCCGCCGCTGCCGCCGCCGCCTCCTCCTCCCTCCGCACCGGATCCACCTTCGGCAGCGGCCGCTGCAGCCGCCGCTCTAGACTGTGCAGCCTGGCGCTCCCTCTCGCGCTCCCTCTCCCGTGCGCGAGCTTGGGCATATCCGTAAGGCAGGTGACTATTGCACCCGCCATCCGCGCCCACCATGGCAAACTCCATCTTAAGTCAATGAGCGGTTCGGTCCGTGAGGGCTACGGCGGCCGCCTCAGGGCGACGTGGACGCGGGCCAGAGAATAAAAGTTGCAGCTCGGAGCGCGCAGAGGAAATGAGACATGAACCGCTTCGACCAATCAGTTGTGAATATGAGAATGTCAGAAAAACAAACGAACCTCAATTAGGTCCATGTTGCGTGCAGTCCATGTGGCTACTTACATGATAGGAGATATTGATCAGCCTATCCTCCCGTGTCGGCTCAGGCCTCTTATGACATCATTACCATAACCCAAAGATGTGAGGGCCGGCGGCATCGCCTGTTACGCAGACGCTCTGTGTCAAACTTGCAGCGCCCTTTTATTTGTTCAGCATCATAAATCACCAAGTCAACAAGCGACACCAAAACAGTCTCCCCGCGGTTCCTCCGGTGCCCATCAGGTGGTTAATTTCTCCACGACCAGGGCTGGTGCCCAAATGCGTCTTCTGATCCTCCGTGGTCACTCATGGTTGCCATTTTATGTGATGAGATTAAAAAGAAGAAGAAGAAGAAGCTGGATCTTTGCTGTTATATTATTATGGAGCTCCGGTGGATGTGAAAGACTTTATCCTTGTGTCGCTCTGGAGCTGAGAGAGAGAGAGAGAGAGAGAGAGAAGAGGAAACAGCAGAAAATAAATGAATTCATATTCATGTCCGTTGTTTTGGCGACTGCACAGTCCAGGATTCTACGCATCTGTTACAATATGAGGCGCTGAAACTTAATTGGCATATTATTATTGCCATTATTGTCATTATAATTGAGTTATTATGAAGCTATGCTGTTGGGAATGAATGCAGGGGAGACATTTATGTCTCGCACAGACATTACGCACGAATTTTCAGCTCATTAAAATCGCCTCCCTTCATTCTGACATTCATACTTACATGTGAAAAGGGGCCAAACGAAATCGCCTCAGCCCCCCTACAAACAAATCTGCTGGAGGAGAAGGAGGAGGAGGAGGAGGAGGAGGATGAAGAGGAGGAGGAGGAGGTAGGGTAGGTGAGGATGCAGTTCTTCCTCCAAATTCCCCACTTGATTTTTGGGGGGTAATATCACAAATCCCTCGTCGTATCCAACCAGCGACCATAACATCCACTACATACATCCGCGGTCTGACGCACTCTGAGGAGGACACTTTTTTGGCTGCGTCTCGACGTCTTGTCTCAATTCAACAGGATCTATCGCCACTTCAGCCCCCGTTTGTGCTGCATCGCTCCCGGTGTTTCGGCAGCAATAATTATTTAAGGGAGGGAAAAAAAGAAGAAGAAGAAGAAGAAGCAGGTGTGCGAGCAGCGAGTTGGCATCAATGACAGCTCCGCACGGTCACGGCGAAAAGATGCGAGGGGGGGTAAAAGTTTACCTTCACGCAGGCGAAGGGAAATGGCCCCATGGTTGAGTCTGAGCATCACACATCTGTCTGTCTGCCGCTGTAGCCCTACCTATATTCCTGTATCCCTCCCATTGTGTGTGTGTGATGATGGAGAGCCTCGGTGAGAAAGTCATTCATGTACTGCAGCGCGTGCAGGCGGTGCTCGGTCCTCCCCCAGTGGATGCAGCCGGTCACTGCGCACCGTGCTGCAGTCTCTCAGCCCGAGCCTCCTCTGCCCTTCATCATCACTGCTGGGGTGGCAACCGGTGTCCTTACACCCCCACCCCCACCCACCCACCCACCACCCCAAAAAAAAAACTAATGCATTGCTCTCCATTCATTCCTGAAGCAACGTGGTGTGTTTACAATTTTCAGATAAAATCATCCCACCCACCAAAACACTGGCTGTTTTACCTTTTAGAAACTATTCCTGTCAGAAATCCTTAGTTATTTTCGGTCATTTTAATCCCCACGTGACCAGAAATGGAAAGATTTCACCTGAGCCTGCACAGGTGTGAGTCACAAATAAGAGTTTACATCCAAAATGTGTGAATTTAACTCCTAGATATAATTTCTCCACAATGTCTCTGCACCTAAATACAGTTTTTTACCATCAATTCATGATCAATCAAGCAAAAATTACTAAAATAAAAGCTGTTTTCTTGTCTCTCAAAGATTAAGATTCCCAGTTTTATTTTACAGTAAACTGAATATCTTCTCTAACAAGATATTTGAAGCTGTCACCTTGGAAGTGGGATTGATATTTCTTTTTCTCTCTTGCGAAATTTAACAGACTAAACGATTGATTGATCAATAATGAACATAATCGTTAGCTGCAGCCTTAATTATTAAATATTTCTTTGACAACCCTCAAATAGACGTTTAGCTCTGCGCTTCAGCTGCGATACTACGTCTAATTTCCCCTGTGAGTAAACAGGAAAACCAAACATCATTAATATCCATTGTTTCTGCCATTACTTTGATATTTAATTAAGTAAAAGCAGCACTTAAAAGAGAATACCGCCCCGGTTTAGAAGTGAATTCATTTACGTAGTCCGTTATCCTTTTATCGTGTCCCACAACAGTTCAGTCGATAGAGATCGGAGAGAAAACCACTTCATTTTTGTCGACGCTGCAGATTACAGACAAGTAATCGGCTGTGACAGAACAATGCAGAGCAACTTCAGTGTCTACCTTAGTGGGAGTTTGTTTGGACATCCTCAGCAGTAAAAACACAAAGCAACGTTTCACTTCTTAGACATGAATGACATCAAATCCACAAGTGTCACTGACCTTCACACTGTAACCCAGGAAAAATACAGTTAGCTTATCCAGAGTCGTATAAGATATTAACTATTTGTTGTCTTGAGCAATGGCTAAAAAGTGTTTTGTGAGGTCACACTGACCTTGACCTTTGTCCTTTGTACACCAAAATCTAATCAGTTCATTATTGAGTCCAAGTGAATGTTTGTACCGAATTTGAAGGGATTCCCTCGAGGAGTTCTGAAGATGTTGCGTTCACAAGGCCAAAATTATGTTTTGTGACCTTGGCCTTTGACCTTTGACCCCAAAAATTCTAATCAGTTCATCGTTAAGGCCTAGTGAAGGTTTGTGTCAAATTTGAAGAAGTTCCGTCAAGTCGTAACTGAGCTAATGTGTCCGTGATAATGGGACTTACAACCCGAAAACAATATGGCTGCTCTGACTGTCGCCGGCAGGGAGACGTAAAAACACCCCTCAGTGTTGATGTAGAGAAAGATTCATTCTATAAACCAAAAGAAAGTGAAGCTTTTCTTCTGTTTCTCCCTTAAAGGTCCAATCCCCAAACGTTATCACCCACCACCATCACATCCCAAACCACCGGAGTAAGATCTGCCGTCCCTCCGGAACTGATTTAGAGATCTGTTTAGCACTAGACAATCACTGAATTAAAACTAATCATCATTTCTAATCTGTTAAAGGTTTGTTTATGTCATTAATGTGTCAGTGCGGCAGTAAAATGGTAAAATGCAGATTATTAATCATTAAATTTACATTCAGATTAATGTTTCTTTGTAAAACGAGCCAGGGTGGCGTCAAAGAAATGTTCCATTGTTTTAATGTTAACGTCAATAATTTCCTTGTAGTTTGAAACAGTAAGTGATTACTGTATTTTTTTTTTTACAAGAAAAGTTACAGAAATATGATACAAAATTAACATAATTAGGGTTGTACAACCATTAATTATGGGCCACATACAGAAAAAAGAAAAGGACTCTTCACTAACTCAACCTTTTTTTGTTTTCCTCTCATCCTCGTTCCACCTTCCTGTTTTTTTTCTGTTGTATATTGTAAAGAAATGTCAAAGCTGTTGCAGATTTCAACCAAACCTTGTTAAAAAGTGGTGTGAAATAATAGCATAAAATATTCCTAAATCTATACACGAGGATATCAAAAAAAGCGTCCCTCTCCTCCTCCATCAGGTCCCTGATAAAAAAAAAACAACAATGCCCAATGTGCCCTCAGTAAATGTCACCCAGAAATGACAAAAATATAATGAGCGCAGTGTGTAACTACAGCAGTTTCAGACACTCCCCTCTTTAATTTGAATCATATAATTTAAAACATCAGTACGCTACTTCATACAGTGTATAATTAAAGGTCATCCTCTCACTGGAGAAAACAGAGCGACACTGTTCGCTCCATGTTCTTTACATTTCACATGAGAGAAACCTGATTTTATTTTATTTATTTATTTATTTATTTTGACAGCAGGAGAAAGTGGAGTGGCCACTTTGGAGACTGTAACACAACAAATTACTGTGCTCAGGTATTAATGAGTCAAACAACACATTACTACCGAAAAAGCAATTAAGAATGCATTATTTCTTTTGAGTAATGAGTATTGAAAACATCAAGACAAGCCAGTGTAATGAATATCGTGGTGATTTTTCTTTAATGTGGCCACATTAGCTGCTATTTATATACAGGTATAGTGTGGAAATGACGATGCTTAACAAAAGGAAGATGGTTTCTGGCCGTTTATACTTTACTCAACAAGCAATCTGAGGATTAGTGACCAGTTTATTGCAACCGACAAAAACTAGAATCACCTCCTTGCAGTTGTATCCCTCCGCCACTCAGACTAGTTTCAGGGCACATCCCTGTTTATCCAGAGTCAGAGAAAATATGAACAATTTGTGTGAAATTGAAGTCTTGAGTAATAGCTAAAAAGTGAACTTGACCAAATTCTAATCAGAAAGTTGCTCAAGGAGATGTCCCGTTCACACGACCAAAACAGTGTTTTGTGAGGTCACTGTGACCTTGACCTTTGACCCCCAAAATCTAATCAGTCCACCCTTGAGTCCTAGTGAACATTTGTGCCAAATTTGAGGAAGTTCCCTTGAGGAGTTTCTGAGATATCGTGTCCACGAGAATGAGACGGACAGACAACCCAAAAACAATATGGCCTCCAGCTCTGACTGTCGCCGGCGCGGAGTGATAATAATACGTCAGCGATCTCTTATAAAGACTTCTGGGCACCTGGCGAGGTGACTGTCGAGTCACCGTTATTGATCAACCACCATATTGCCACCACAGATTTATTTGGGTCGTTTGGA